ATACTGGCTACGTGCAGACCAGCGGTGTAACCTGCAAGCAAACTTTCTACGGTAGACCAAGAAACTATCAGAAACATACCTTTCCCTTCCATGTGAACTGCCTGGAATATTTCTGGCCCCCACACTGAAAACACTACTGATTCGGAAAGGATCATCCAGATGAATTAAAATAAACATACCAGGACTGACTGCAGCCTCATGAACGTGCCTCTGAAAGGATATCTGCACTGTCAGCAACAAACAGAGCCTCACACACCTGCCACAAAGCTTTTCTACAGTTACTCTCACTCACATCACTCTGTAGGTCGTAGGCCTTCTTTGCATGGATCACGTCATTCTGGTCAGGCAGACAGGTCCAGTGGTGAAAGCGGTGCCGGTAGTCCACATCACTGACCAGGGTCTGGCACTCCTTGGCTGCCTGCACTGACATCGCATCGACTGGTATGTGGATCTGCGCCTTCGAATCGTGGTACGCCTTCCTGTAAATTCGGTCGTTCTGCAGCAGCATGGCACGCGCAGCCCACGATAGTTTGGGATCCTCCTGGGCAGTTCGGCACCCAATGTAGTGCCCTTTCTGCTTCTCGTGCGTTTCTTTGTATTTGTACTAGAAATGCAAAAATAAGTATTAAAAGAAATAGTGAATCTGGGATGAATTTCCCATCTTTCCTATTGCTACTGATCACAAATATATTTTTTTATGCTATGAAATATACTGATTTACAGTTTAGAAATGCCTAATGCACTCTTGCTCCACAGCTTTTTTTTATTTGTACTGTAGTTTATTATTTTCTAATATCTGCTTAATGCCAAGATTTATAATTCAATGTTCCTTTTGGAAACTGTTGCCCATTTTCTTTCTCCAGTGAATTCATTAGTAGGCTTTGAAGATGAATCTGATATACCATGGTTTTTTATGTTGTACATATCTTATTACTTCATTCTTGTTTCTCAAGCTAATTGAAAATAAATGTAAAGGAAGAACATACATCACTCGCAATATCTCTTGATGCCTTTGCACTTCGGATTGGAATTGCATCAGCTCTCATGTCATAGCCCTTCTGTTTGGCCTCTTCCCAGGCTTGTGTATAAAGTTTCTACAGAAAAGAAGACAGAAAATGGCTTGTCAATATTCTGAAAGATGAAATTTCTACATTTCTTAATTTTTTCTTAAAATTTTAATCAATGCATATTTTAGAAGTTTGTTATGGTTAAAGAAATGCTCACTGAATTTCTTAATCTCCATTACTTTAGTATATGTTTAAACGTTCTTACCTGGCTGACATTAGCTGCATTGGCCTTCGCTAACAAAATTGTCGGTGTGTCAGGCATGATGTGAATTGATGTTTTGTCTGCATCCCAGGCTTCTGTGTATAAACGCTAGGAGAGAAGAAAACATATTCCTTTAAAGTTTCTCTATGTGTGTCATGATGGAAAGGCTGCAAATTTGAAAGCAGTAGTTACCAAAAACATATCTATGATATAAAAGAAATCTTGAAGCAGAACAAGATAGATATAACCAAACTAATACATTTGTCCAAAGAAAGTATTTTACAAACTGCGAGGGGTAGTTCAAGCAAGCTTTAAATACCCTGACCTAGCAAAGCTTCTCACTGAACAGCTCAAGAAGAAAACTTTGTCCTTCCTTATTATTTCTCAGGCTAAGTTGGCACAGCAATTGATTGATTTAGGATTGCTGGGACACTGCTGTAGGAGGAAAACTATATTCATTATTCTGCCGTATCTGTACGACTTGTTTGATATATGTTTCTTACTAAAGAGAAGGAGTAGGTACTTTGCGACTTTCATCCTCCAGGTCTGAGATAAATTGCAGAAGCTTCACTTTCAGAGAACATAAGCTATTTCCTCATAACTTGTTCATCACGCAGTATGACATTCAGTCAACAATACATCATTACAGCAGATGCAGTAAAAGCCTCGATATTCTGCTACATCCTATCTTATAGCATACTCATGGCACCACCACCTCTGGACATACCCTAACACCTTCCTGGAACTTGTTTTTTTCAGATTTCACAGTATTGTCTAAGAACTGCAAGAAAATGTAGCCTGTTCTGGCAGAGATGAGCTTTGTATAGTGAAGTAGCATTAACAAAATAGAAAAAACATACCAAACAAACATTTAAAAATAGGATTTCAGCTGACATGGGAGGAAGAGGGAAATTCATCACAATTTTTACTATTACTCTTGAAAAACATGTGCTTTAGGTGAATTTTCTCTGGACTTTTTTACTAAGTGTTCAGTTCAGACAGAACCCTGAGATAAGAGCTTTCTTGTGCAAAGGCTGAATTGGGACATTCATTTTCTCAAAGCCCACAACAAAAGTGTTTAGTCTTATTTTGTATTTTTCACCTCTCTTAGCTAGTAATACTAGGGATTTTGACCAAAAAAAGAACCCCTCACCTTGTTCATTATCTCAGCATTTTGCTTGGCTAAGACCATGGCCAAAGAATCTGTCACACTAGTAAATTTAATTTGGTCTGCTGGTTGACGATACTTCCTTTCACTCAGGATTTCTCCGGCTTTCTTGGCTTTCTCAACTTCCACGGAACCAATAGGAACCCATCCAATACCTCTTAGCCATTCCAGGTCTGATTTGTAAACAGCCTGAAAAAATTTGAAAGTTCATTATATATGTGCAAGTGTGATCAAATATTAAAATAATTATGAATAAGCATATCCCAGTCTACATGAACAATTGTATATATTTCTGCACAGTAGCAGGATATGGTTTTGAAAACAATTGTTCTTTTTGAAGGTTTAGTAAAATAATTATTAACTAACAAGAAGAACAGAGTTATTGAAGAACTCTACAAATACCAGAGTTACACACAAATTACACCTCAGGCTAAGGACTGAGAAAATAGGATTAAACATAATTTTGATGAGCGAATCTTAAACATTTCACCTCTATCAACATGTCTGATGCAAGCAACTAAGGCATATTATATATCTTTAAAAAAAATACATTGCACAAGACCCAGTATATTTAATTATGCAATACAAATTTAACGATTTACTCACATCACTCTGTAGATCATAGGCCTTCTTAGCATGGATAACATCATTCTGGTCTGGCAGACAGATCCACTGATGCAGATAGTGGCGGTAATCAATGTCGCTGACCAACTCCTGACATTTCTTGGCCAACACGATGCCCAGCATGTCCACCGGGCTACTGAAGTGTGTCTTTGTCTTCTCAAAGGCTTTCTTGTACTCCCTGTCACTCTGGATCTTGGCTACGTGCATCGACCACATCATCTTCGGATCATCCTCTATGTTGCGGGCACCTATGTGGTGGCCAAGCTGCTTGCGATAGCCTTCTTTGTATTTGTACTGAAATATAAATCAAGATACTATATTTCTATATCACCTCTAAATAACAGTTAGTCATACTAAATATTTCTAATAACAAACTCTCCAAATTTCTCTATAACCTACAGTCAAAAAAACCAAACTGTCAAAGCAATTCTGGGGCTAATAACATGTATTGTCTCATTAAATTTTTGAGATTTGAGTTAGAACCCTAAACAGAGATTTTTAAGTAAGTCTTTTTGGAAAAAACCCTCTTCACTAATATTAGTGAGAAATAATCCTCTCCTTATTAAATATATTTAATCCTTATTAAATATTATAATATACATACTGTTAAGATTTAATTAAAGATACAGGTTTATGAGCTATAAAATTAACATGATAGCAGCATTACATTGTCCTTATAACTTCTCAACATTTAATTTTTACAATTAAGTCTTTAAACATATAAAATAATTGGCTTCCAAAAATCTATTATTTGAGATCACGGTTCCATTGAAATGCCTTTTACAGAATCCAGCTGATAACTTTCAGGTTGCAGAGATGAGATGTCACCACACAAAGAAAGAAGAGAGTAGTTTCTTACATCACTGGCAATTTGCCTGGATGCTTTGGCAGCTTGAATGGGGATAGCATCACTTCTCAAATCATAGCCTTTCTTTTTTGCGTCTTCCATGGCTTGTTTGTAGAGTTTCTAGAATTAAACAATGGGATTCATATAAGTAAGTTCCATATATTATATTCTATGCAAAACAAACTGCTTGTAAGTATAGTAGGTTTTAAAAATTGTGTTAAGATTTATTCTAACCCAGCTTTATCCAACTTTCTTAACTCAAAGCCCTAGATCAGTAGCTGATACAAATTCATATCAAAGGAAGATCTTTGCCAAATACATTAGCTAATGATTTTTTTCTTTCAATACTTTAAATAACATAACATTGACTACAATTTTAGAGATAAACTATTCTTCTATACGAATGGAATAAAACTTACTTTTTAAAGCCACCTCTTACTGATGTGAGTTTATTTACCCAAGCTAACACTGAACACTGGGATCACTGCTCTTCAGAATTGTGTTGGGAATTACCTTTTTGGTATTTCCACTGTTGGCATGAATTTTGTGCCTTCCCAACAGTACGCACACTGGCAGAAATGACTCCCCAAAAATTCACTGGAGACACACAACTTCTCATGGAATTTATTCTCAATAGTGCTCACTGCTGTATGTATGCACTACTGTACAAATATGCAAACTGTCTATTTAAAGTCACAGTTTTGAGGATAAATATTGGGGGTTACTTAAAGAAACTGATGGTATCATCTATATAAGTTTTATTAGAATATTGATGATCCAGCCATGAAACAGACCAGTTATATTTGGAGAGCTAGCACACTCACCATACTGTAGTTCTGCATGTTCTGTTTTGCCAGTGTGATTTCAGGTGTGTCAGGCATTATGTGGATTTGCGTCTTGTCTTTATCCCAGGCCTCAGTATATAAACGCTGCAGGAGAAAGAACATATATTAAAGGGGGAAAAAAAGTGGTGACTGCTTGGAGATCTCCTAAAACATAAGAAGAATTACAGCTCTGTACTCCAAGTCTAAAAAATCCTTATTCCTTATATAGCAAGGAGATTTTATATTCACTCCTCTAGATACTTATTGTCCAGGTTAAGAATTCTGCTAAAAAAAATGTTTAGAAAAAAGGCACAGATTGCTAATCAGACACACAGAGATCTAAACTCTAAGAACAAGGCCTGTTTGAAAGAGGAAATAGTTTTATTAACATAAATAGGATTGAGATCAGGGCCACAGATTCAGAAAAACTCTTACATTTTAAGTAATGAGCTGAATTGTTTAAAATACGGATATTTCAAAGACTGCCCTAAAACAAGTAGTTTATTAATTACTAGATAAACTTGCTAAATTATTAGATTTATTAGACAAATTGCTATATTAAAAAATAGATTAAAGTTAGGTAAGAAATTACTAGATACACAGTAGAGTATGTGGAAAGCTTCACAACTGAAAATTCCAATTTAACCTGATAACTTGGAAGATATTATTAAATTTGCACTTGCTGAAAATATGTTACCTGTTGATTACCAAGAATGTAACACACTTTTAAAGCCTCGCTGTGCAGAAATCTCACACAGCAACCACATATCTGTATTTCTAGTCCTGTCTCCAGGGTTTAGATGGAGACTGCTGACGTGTTACCTAATCAAATCAAGACTCACCTTATTCATGGTCTCCGCATTCTGCTTGGCTAAGACCATCTCTAGAGAATCAGTGACGCTAGTAAACTTGATTGTGTCTGGAGGCTGACGGTATATTTTATCACTCAAGATCTCCCCCGCCTTTTTGGCTTTTTCAACGGCCAAGGAACCAATTGGGACCCAACCGATGCCCCGCAACCATTCAAGGTCAGATTTGTAGCAGTTCTGTTACAAAATACAAAGACAGCTGTCTCATTAATATTGCCAGTTAAACATTTCATATCTACCATGTAACTAATGCTTACTTTTTGTAAGTTGCCTTCCTCCTAGTTCAATCAGCAAAACAATCTCTGTTAGTGACCTAGATTCAGACTCCTTATCTGTCTTCGAGGTATCATTCACCAAGCAACATGTTGGGGAATGGTCAAAGAGTAAAACAAAACCCTGAAAGTCAGTGTAAACTTTTCCTGTAACATTTGTTCCCAACAAATAAATGGTCACCCACTAAGAACAGCAGGTCTTAATTTAAACCATTTTCTCCAAGATAGAACAAAGGAATCCTCTCCACTAAAGTCATGCAACTAAAAAAAAAGTCATACTAGGCAATTCCCTCATTATATGCAGTTAATCTGCATATCAAGGCATTAAAATTGTCTATTATGAAGGATTATACGCAGCTAATTCTACTATTTGGCTAACTGATTATATAAACCATCATAATACTCAACCTTCCTTACACACAGATTAATTCGCTCCTAAAAATCTTAGGACTTTGACTGGAATAGGTAAATCAAAACACAATGTGAAAAAACACTTTATGAGGGAGAGACTTCAAACAGATTCTACAGTTTATATTCCAAGGAAATGACATACACATCAGAACACCAATGCTTATCAGTGAGTACTCACATCACTCTGTAGATCATAGGCCTTCTTAGCATGGATAACATCATTCTGGTCTGGCAGACAGATCCACTGATGCAGATAGTGGCGGTAATCAATGTCGCTGACCAACTCCTGACATTTCTTGGCCAACACGATGCCCAGCATGTCCACCGGGCTACTGAAGTGTGTCTTTGTCTTCTCAAAGGCTTTCTTGTACTCCCTGTCACTCTGGATCTTGGCTACGTGCATCGACCACATCATCTTCGGATCATCCTCTATGTTGCGGGCACCTATGTGGTGGCCAAGCTGCTTGCGATAGCCTTCTTTATACCTGTACTATAGGCAAAAAAAGCATTCAGTGAATTTTAGCTTAGTTTTCTTTATGTCCCTAGCAGCCCCTGTGGCACAACCTCCAGAGAACGTAGGATCTGAAACCAAAGAGAAAGCATTCAGCTGATGAACTGCAGTGTACAGCTACAAAAGGACTCATATAACATTATCTGCCTGATATGAACTTCACATTTTCGCAGAGACTCCCTGGCCTACATATTAAGAGCTACTACTCAGCAACTGAGAGTAAAAAAAGTCCTGAAATTATGACACGGATACGAAAATCCCAAAGTTCAATAAATACCCGCTAAGAATCAGTTAGTGACACTCAAGAACGATAGCCAATTAAACTCGTATTCAATCTATTCAGGAGAAAAAAATGGGAAGAGCATAGAGACAGACACGGAAGTTTAACAGAGACACCGAACACATATATGAAATAAATTTTGATATGAATACCTAATAATAATAAAAAAATATTTACTTTTACACTGTCTTCATTTTTAAACAAAAACTTCCTTTGAGTTTTTCATGTCCAGCTTGGCTGTGCAGCTGCAACATCAGGGGCGTGCAGACTGGCAGC